CCCCCCCCGCACCCCCCTGCTCCATCCATATCTTTGTCAAGTTTTTTCCTTTGCTAGTCCTGGGGCTTGATCTCTGGACCCTCAGCACAAGCCAACAGCGCCCAGCCTGCCCATGTCTTCACTCTAATCTCTGCTTCATTCCCCCCACCCCTCTTTTTGTCAGTCGTGGGGCTTGAACTCTGGGCCTGGGCGCTGTCTCTCAGCTCTCCAGCTCAAGGCGAGCGCTCTACCACTTGAGCCACAGCGCCACTTCCTGTTTTCTAGTGGTTTATTGGAGATAGGAGTCTCAAGGACTTTGCTGCCCGGGCTGGCTTTGAACCTCAGTCCTGAGTAGCTAGGATGATGACAGGCGTGAGCCACCAGCACCTGGCCCCCGCCTCCCTTTCTTTCTGTGCCAGTATTCAGGCTTGAATTCATGGCATGGGCGCCACTGTCCCTGAGCTTTTTTTTTTTTTTTTGCTCAAGGGGACACTCTGTCACTTGAGCCACAGCTCTACTTCTGGCTGTTTGCTGGTTCACTGGAGATAAGTCTCCTGGATTTTCCTGCCCTGGGCTGGCTCTGAATCCCAGCCTCTTGAATAGCTAGGATTACAGGAGTGGCCATGGGTACCTTCTCCATCCTCTCTCCCTCTTCTTCCCTCCTCTTCCACTTCCCTCACCGCCCCCCCAACTTCTCCCTTGGTTGGTACTTGTGTTGTAATACAGAGCTTCCTATATTCTAGGCAAACACTCACTGGATCCATGGAATATGAATTTAAAAATAGGCCGGGGCCGGGTGCCAATAGCTCACACCTGTCATCCTAGCTACTCAGGAGGCTGAGATCTGAGGATCGTGGTTTGAAGCCAGCCAGGGAAGAAAAGTCCCTGTGAGACTCTTATCTCCAATAAACCACACACACACACACACACACAGAGCTGGAAATGACGCTGTGGCTCAGGTGACAGGGCACTAGCCTTGAGCACAGAGGCTCAGGGACAGCACCCAGGCCCTGAGTTCAAGCCCCAGTCGCTGGGGTCTGGCGCCTGCCGGGGTAAGCCTGGCTACTCAGGAGGCGAAGCTCAGGATCGAGTTTCCAGGCCACGAACTTCTGCCTCTGTGGCTCTGAGTGGCTGTGTCTGTGGCTCCCAGGAGTGAGGGTGCAGTCCACAGTCCCGCCCTTCCCGGGCCCTGCTCTGCCTGACCGAGCCCCCTGAGGCCTAGCACCTGAGACCCCGCACCTGCAGAATAAGTTCACAGGAGCTCTACCCCAGCGGCCATGTCCCTTCACCTCTCCATCCCTGGCCCGCCTTCAGCTGCCCCCAAACACGCCCCGCCCCCTCCACTCACACCACGCCCACTGTGCCCACGCCCCGCCCACTCCCCGCTTACACCACGCCCACTATACCCACGCCTCCACTCTGCTTACACCCGCCCACTGTGCGCATGCCCCGCCCCTCCGCTTCACCACGCCCACCGTGTCCACGCCCCGCCCCCTCTCCACCTGTGCCACGCCCACCGTGCCCACGCCCCGCCCCTCTTCCCAAGGACCGCCCTGGCCTTCCCGGCGCCGCCACTCACCTCCTGGGTGAGGAAGGGAATAATCTGAGCGCAGATTCCACTGAGCCGCTTCACAATCTCAGCCTGGCGGGGAAGCAAGGAGATGCATCAGGGGCTGAAGAGAGAACAGAAGACCCTCCATCCACCCGCACCCCCAAATGGTAAGAAGCATCTGCAAGAGGAGGAAGATGAAAGGGGTGACATCGATCAAAATGGATTTTATGGTTTGTCGGCCCTGGGGCTTGAACTCGGGGCCTGGGCGCTGAGCCTCTTGGTGCTCAAGGCGAGCGCGCTACCACTTGGGCCACAGCACACCACTTCTGGGTGTCTGGGGGTTCAAGGGCGATGAGAGTCTCACGGACTCCCCTGCCCAGGCTGGCTTTGAACTGCGATCCTCAGCTCTCAGCCTCCTGCGTCGCTGGGATGCCAGGCGGGAGCCTCCGGTGCCTGGCTCGCTGTATTCAGTATAAACTTATTTGTTGAAGGCCTGCGTACAACTTAAAGGTTTGACAGATAGATTACTTAAAAGAAGCATTTGCAAATCTAAGGGGTGAGGAACCGGAGGCCGGGAGTGAGGCTGCCCTGGGCAAGGCCGGGAGCCAGGAGTGAGGCCGCAGCTGCAGAGCCGCCCGCGCCGAGGCACCGGGCCGTCCAAACAATGAGGGCTCTGTGCTGGGCACCCCTCACAGGCCAAGCAAAACCACTCACTGTGAAGGCCCCGTGCTGGGCCCTGCCCAGGACAGGTGCGCTCGGTGCATGTGCAGGGTCTGCATGTCGCCCCAGCAGAGTGCGGCACACAGCCAGGCTCCCAGGGCTGGGGCCCTGGCCCGTGCCCTCCGCCCCCACCCCCACCCCCACCCCCCCATCCATGATACCAAACCATGCTCCACACCAAACACCCTCCCTGTAAGCTGGGCGCCACTAGCTCATGTCTATCATCCTCACTATTCAGAGCTAGCTATTGAGATCTGAGGATCAGGGTTCAAAGCCAGCCCGGGCTGGTAAGTCCTTGAGACTCTTATGTCAAGTATCAAAAAGGAAGGAAGTAGAGTTGTGGCTCAAGTGGTAGAGTGCAAGCCTTGAACATAAAAGCATCCTGAGTTCAAACTCCAGGACAGGAAGAAAGGAAGGAAGGAAGGAAGGAAGGAAGGAAGGAAACAGGAGAGGGAGAGGGAGAGGGCGGGGGAAGGGAGGGAGGGTCTGGGAATGTGGCTTCTTGGTGGAGCGCTTGCCTAGCATGGAGGAAGCGCTGGGTTTGATTCTTTAATACCACACACATAGAAAAAGCAGGACGTGGGTCAAGTGGTAGAGTGCTGGTCTTGAGCAAAAGAAGTTCAGGGACAGTGCCCAGGCCCTGAGTTCAAGCCCCAGGACTGGTCAAAAAATAATAATAATAAAAGGGATGGGGGGGGGGAAGAAGGAGGAAGGGAGGGAGAGAGGAGAGAGGACAGAGGGAGGAAAGAAGGGAGGAAAGGAGAGAGGCTGGTAACTGATGCCCGTAATCCTAACTACTCAGGAAGCTGCCAGTCGAGGATGGCAGTTCAAAGCCAGGCTGAGGAGGAAAGTCTGTGAGACTCTCCAGTTAACCACCAGAAAACTGGAAGTGGCACTGAGGCTCCACATAATGGAGTGAAGTCTTGTGCAAGAGCCCAGGGACAGAGCCCAGGCCTTGAGATCAAGCCCCACACCAATCAAAAAAAGAAGGAAGAAGAGGAGGAGGAGGAGCAGGAGAAGGAGGAGGAGAAGAAGAAGGAGAAGGAGGAGGAGGAGGATTCCCTACAAAGCCCACACATCCCCAGAAAAGCATGCCAGGCCCGGTACCCCAAGTACCCACACTCCTAGCCCACCCTTCTTCTCCACACCCCCCCGGGACCCTCAGCATGACACTCTGCCACTGATTCTAATATTCCAAAGAGAAGAATCCATGAGTCTGATAGGGGTCTATCTCAGATTCCTTTGGGTCTATTTCAGAACCCGGGGTGATACTCAGGACCCGAAGCAGAGCCTGGGAACCACCCAGCATTCTAGTCAATCTCAGAGCCCTGAGGATCTACTTCAGAAAACTAGGAATAACTGGGCACATGCCCATATTCCTAGCTACTTGGAAGGCTGAGATCTGAGGATCATGGTTTAAGCTAGCCAGGGCAGGAAAGTCAGTGAGACTCTCATCTCCAATGAGCCACCAAAAAGCAGGAAGTGGAGCTGTGGCTCATGTGGCAGAGTGCCAGCCTTGAGTGAAAAAGCTAATGAACAGCACCCAGACCCTGAGTTCAAGATCCAGTACTGGCATGAAAGAGAGACAGACAGACAGACACAGAGACAGAGAGAGAAAGAGAGAGAAAGGAAACAGAGAGAGAGAAAGCTGGGAAGAACTTCAGAACTGTCCAGTCTTTGAGTCAATCTCTGAGCCTGGGAACAGCCTCAGAAGCTTGCATTCTGAATCACAGCATTAGACTCAGAGTAGGCCGGTCCCACCAAGACCAATCTCCAAAACTTTCCAAATTGCAAGAAAGCTGGGTGCCAGTGACTCATGCCTGTAATTCTAGCTACTTCGGAGGCTGAGAGCTGAGGATTGCAGTTCAAAGCCAGCCAGGGTGGGGATGTGTGAGACTCTCCTCTCCAACTAACCACCAAAAAAAACACAAATAGAGCTGTGGCTTGAGTGGTTAGAGTGCTAACCTTGAGCCAAAAAGGCCAGGTCCTGAGTTCAAGCCACAATACCCGCACAAAACAAAACAAAAACAAAACTGCAAGAGAATCTTGGGCCTCCGTCATCCAATTCCCAGTCTCCAGGTTGGAGGGGATCTCTCCAAGACTGCCCACCACCCCCCTCCTCCGACGATGACACCAGTTACTTCCACAGCCTCTGCTGAGCGGCCTCTGTCCTCCAGATGGGCCCAATGGGACCAGATTAAGAGCCCCTCTCTCCCGTGCCTCCAGAGACCTAGGCTCACCCCATCCGCGGCTCCCCGCGCCCCTCTGCCGGTTACCTGTTTGTGCATCTCAATGTTCAGTCCGTAGGACATCTCGTAGTACTGCGAAGGAAAGGCCATTAGAATGTCCTGAGGACAGGTAGATGCTGAGGGACTGGGGCCCCAACAAGACATAGAACAAGACATTCCCAGAAAGGGAGCCCAGCAAGGGGAGTAGAAGAAGACCTTGGTCACACAGCAGGCGTCCCCGGGAGGGCTGGGGCTTGGCTGACAGGGTCTGGGAGCCTGGAACCCCAGCCAGCCCGGCTTCCAGGCAGGAAAAATGAGGCTCTAAGGGGGGTGTGTGTGGGGGATCCGGGGTGGGGGGGAATCTGAGCAGGGGCAGCGGCTCTCGGGCCTCACCATAACATAGTGTCGCTGCATCTCAGTCTTCTCGCTGGCCAGCTTCTCACATTCCAGCTTCAAGCTTGGGTGGGGGGGGGAGAGGGTGTAAAACGGGGTGCACAAAGTGACAGTCTGAGGGGTCTCGTCTTCTCACACCTCCAAGGTCCCATGGTTCCTTCCCACACCCACATTTCCGGGGTTCAAAACGCCCCACACGGAAAGGTCCCCCCCAGAGTCCCCACCTTCCTCCCACTTGGGTCTCCAGCCGGACGCTGGCCCCTGGCCCGAGGCCCCGCCCCTGGCCCGAGGCCCCGCCCCGCGCCCAGGCCACGCCCCGCGCCCAGGCCACGCCCCTCCCGGGGCTCCAGGTGCGCTGCCCGGGGCGGGGTCCCCACCCCCGCCGCCCTCACCTGTGGTACTGAGCCTGCAGAAACTGGAATTCCTCCTTGATGCGGTCGCAGATCTCCAAGATTGAGAACTTGAAGGGCTGGCCGGACTGAAGCGGGGTCTGGGGGGGGTGCGGGGTGCCAGGGGGGCACACCGGGGTGAGTGCCCCAGGATGCTGGGAGAGAAAAAGTAGGGGGGTCCCTGCCAACGCCCGCGCAGCCCCCGGGGCCCCTCTACTCACCGGGTGCCTTCCTTGGGGGTACATCCTGCCGATCCGGGAGCCCCCCCGCGGGGTGCGGGAGGCTGGAAGTGGGGCGGGGTGGAATTGGAGGGGAGAGCTGCACGGGGGGGCGGCTGGAGTTGGGGGGCAGAGTGCGGGGGG